CCACACTGTCCTCCTTGTGAACCCCTTCACAAAAGTGCCGCACCGTCGCTTCTCCTGACGCGTGGTCTAATTGGTGTATTTTTTTTCTCTATCTCGAATATGTATTCCTTTTATCAGATTCTCTTTTCATTATTTTCTTACTTCCCTCGTTTTTCTTCCTGAAATCTTTCTGGATAATTTAAGATTCTCTTTCTCACAAGAGACGGCAAGGAACACCCTCCAACACAGATGACTATCATGTGATTAACTTGGACCCGCGAATCTGGTAGCAAATCAGAATATAGGTTCAAGCCCTAGTAACCAACATAAATGGAGCGATATCATACCATACCATGTATTTCTACAGATTAGGAAGCTCAATTTCGCACGACGGGTCGATATTCGCATGCCCACCAGGAGATCCTTACATACTGGGGCCGGGTTGTGCGGAAGTCTACTCCCAACGGGCTGAGTGAAGCAGAGATATGTATGTAGCATCCTTTCATTTATTCTTGGTCGTTGGACTTACTAATTCGGTATCCGTTTCATGCAAAACGGTATGTTCTTGTGACATAGACCCTGGAAATCCCCAGAGTTTGGTTTAAGCGCCGAAGGCTTCGTGCGGGTCGTGTAACATAGTGGGTGGACTAACGTTATGAATTTACTAGGAATAGCGAGAATAAACGGGGGCAGAGCAGGGCAGAAAGACCGAAGATCATCCAACGAGATGCAAACACGAGACTAGGTAGATTGAAGCGATATGATTTTAATGACTTGTTGATAATGTTTGCATTCGAGACAGCCGCGCGAAGACGTTACACGAAGATCAGAAGCAATCGATATACGGAGTATGAAAAACGCTAATAGAACCAGCCTTACTCAAAGTAAGATTTCAGCCCATAATCGCTGAGCGGGGCAAAGCGCATGTAAGGAAAGTCCAAGCCCCGGGAGCTTTTTTGACCATTCATGCAAGGAAGGGACCAATTTCCTAATTAATTTGATTTGAAATATTGCTAAATGAAGACATTTCGGACAAGAAACGCCGACAGCGAATCTTAGATCTTTTTGATGATTCTTTTTGCTACCTGCATCTATCAAGGTACAGGTATTCGTACAGTAACATACGCAGTCCAGTAATCGTATTTGGCCTAAAACGATGGGCCAGGTATGATTAGCGGTGTGGAGCGCATATAACCTCTAGGGTCTACATGTCAGTAGGTACTAAGTAGACACTAGGTAGCTTCCTTTATCAATTGAGAGTACTGTACGGTGTGTGTACGACTTCGTCAGCAAATTCGTATGAACGCACTGTAATAGAATGAGGCAGTCTAACGGCGGATATAATTAACTTACGGTAATACCGGTAGTAGCGGGTACAAATTACAAGTTACAACTGGTATGATGTTATTATGATGTTATTATGATGCTCAAACTTTCAAACTTTCAAACTTTATGGGCGTTTAGGGGGCTTTGTGGGCTTTTGTGCACGGGCGACAGCATATTGATTCTACTTGAAGAATACGGGGGCAGTGGGGGGGAGAGACACGGGCAGGAGCTGGTCCAGACTCCAGACTTCTCACAGGGATATATTATTCATTGTGATTCATTAATATTATCATAATCACTTCTCCACTGAATAAGTGTAATAACGCTAACGGGAAGTACGCCGTTCGCCTCGCTGCCCTCGCATCACTTTCTCCACACAAAGACCACTCTTTCTTTTCTCCAAGACGCACTTGGCAGCACTTTTCTACTCATTCTTTGAATTCATTCATTTGTGTTACCTGACTCTTCAATTTCATATTGGAAAACACATCCGTAGAAGTAAAAAGGGGAGTGCCAAGAGAAAATAAAGCTATAGAAAATCATGATCGATGGTATACATCTACTGCATCAACGCCTGATACATGGCTTAAGCATTTCGATCAATTGCTTTTTACTGTCACAAAATTCATAAACATAAACCATTATAAAATTCTGAAAACCAATGAACATACAATCAAAGTATCAGTATACCTATGTATAAACAGGGGTTTTATTAAGGTTGTACTACCACTGGTGTACCGTTGCTGACATGATGGTTTGCCTTTTTTTCCTTTTCCCGCCGTCATTTCTTTTGGCACATGAAGAAGCCGCAAACTAAATCTAAAGCAAGGAAAAATATGATCTTCATTTTGCAATTTGCGTTTTATTCTTTCATTCTGCATTTCAGATTTTCGATAGCTCAGATTGTCGTAATGATTTTCCTCAATTCCTTGGATACTTCCATGGAATGCGGGAAGACATCTCGCGAGGCAGATACACGATGGGAGCTGATACTTCATGTCTAAGATCCTTAGCACCCAGTAGGTGCATCTTAAACAGATAAATTTCCGATGCATAAAGTATGTAAATCGATTTCGATTCAATATTTTGGTCTGCAGGAACCTTTTATATCATCAATTGAATTCCTATGTTGAGATGAAAGTGTTAAAGTATGCAACTTCTAACCCTTAAAATCTAATCTATCGCACGCGGGGATCCGACGATAGTGGCTAAAACGACGTCAAGGAATTTTTACACTCTGGTGAAAGCTGAAATTCCTGCGACTTTGACCTATCATAATTTCGGAATGATAATTCGGCACTCTTTTATGGCCGGCCATGCACACTCCCTTTTTTCCATCGGATGCAGAATACGAGATAACATCCCGATCCGAAATATTTACGGGATACCGTAAAATACAACCCACTCTTGCTTGCGAGCCGACCTCACGAAGCGATATATCGAATTAAAAATACATTTGCTTACATGACTTTTCCATAGTAAGTGATAAGTTTTGACTAGGGATCAAACTCTTACATACCGCTCATCGTTTCCCGCGTTGTGTCTTTCTGCATGTGAGTACCCACCCCGTTTGCTATCATTCTATAAAATGCCATATATATAGAAGACCCAGTATGCAATTGTCAAGAAACGCGATATAAAATCAAGCGAGAGTCTAGAAACTATTCACCAGATTAACAAATCAGTTCCTCTAAAAGGAGTAATAAGCGAGCTGGTGAGGTGACATCCCGCCAAAAAGATCCGTCTACCAGGTTTTGATGCGCCACTCCCGGCTTGAGATCTACAATAATTTCTTTACCGGTTGCATATTCAGCAGTGTATTTGCTGCTGCTGGCCATCGATCCGATAATTTCATGCACACTTCAAAGAAATCCATGGCCTGGGTATGTGGCTTGCATGAATTGGCGCATGGTTGGTATGATTTTCCCCACATTACTTTGTCACACACGAACATCTGAATAGCGCGACGGACGTATTTTGGTCAGAATTATTTCGTCTAGGGGTGCTCATAATTTCAATATGGCGTGATGATTTCCAGGGCTAGTATATGGCTGCGAGATATCTTCCTCGATCCCTTCTGTGAATTGACTTGTCATTTTCTTCAATGGAATTAATCGATTACAAGTCACCTCAATGTAACTATCCATGTTATCTGTTTACGGCGGTGAAGAGGCTTCCGTCCTCGTGATTATTCTTTCTGCAGCGGCCTGCAGTCTGAAGTTCTTTTCGACGAATGATATTCCCGATACAGTTGGGATATGCATTTTTCTATCAGGCTCGAAGATCAAACGCCCACCTCCAGGATTTTCTGAATAAGTGTTCAACAGCCACAATGTCCATTAGGCGTTATTATCAACATTTGAGGCGTGGACCCCTTATATTTTGCTCTCATTTGACAGATCGTGTTTCCAATCTGTATCACGATCATCAAGTCTTCTGCAGCTTTTTTAAATACCCAATGCTTGAATCCGGACCACCCCCGGCGCCACATTTCCCATATTTCCCCGCCTTCTCTCGGCAAACTTGCTCAAAGGTACCTCATCTTAGCATGGCTGCGCAGAATTTTCAAGCGGCAGTAAAGTTACTGTAATTATGCATGATGTGCTGTCTCACCGATATTCAATCGTACGACTCGATTTGATCTCCTTTTGGCTTGAGGTAGATCGATCTACATGCATGCAAAATATCACCCGGTTCGCTTAAAGTTGTACTCAAAAAGAACTACATAGAACTTTGCAACTATATCTGTGTCCTAACGAGAAACCAAAAACCTTGTCGGATAGTTATGGGGTCTGGAAGCCCATTGATTTCTCCTCATTTTCACATACCCTAGCTGAGTAACAACTTTCCCGGCACTTGAAATCAATTTCTGCATGTTGTACTATTTTCATCGCCCAATCGCATTTTGTTTCAACAGCCTTTTTCGGCACTAGGGAATTCCATCCAGAGTCCTCGAGATACACCCCGGCCTGAGAAGTCTTGAAGGGGTTGAAATTTTCTCCCATAAGTATGATCTTTGAGTTGGCTTGGCTGCGAAAAGGTAGAGACAAAGAGGGTGAATTGCCATTTTGCTATCTGAGAATTTCTTATTCACGTACAAATGCAACATCCAAGAGTCCAATGAATCAAACTATGAAAGTGAAGTGAATTGAATGGATCTCTTCGCACCATCCCCAAACCAGGGCAATAACAAGACAACAGTGATGTTGTAGGCAACAAAAAACACGACTTATTCATCAGCTTCGAAGTTATTTGGTCACTGGGAGCACTTCACGCAACACTTGATACAATATTGCAGTGTACCCACTCACCTTTCGGAATATCGTCGCAGGCTGTGAATATATGATATTCCTTCTATTTTCATTAATCTCTTCATATTTTCCTGGAAGTTGAATTTGATATCTTAAGGATATTAGCTATCATTGTTCATATGGGGATCTTTCTCTCACTATCCGCAGAAGTTCCATCAGCAATGAGATCGTGCCGGCTTCTCCAATCAACCTAATATTATATACACTCCTCCAGCCTCCATCTCCTAATACTCAGTAGGAAAATCACCACCAGCACCGTTTACTATTTCCTCCCTCAACTTCACTTGTTGTTCCACCTATTATATCCCCACAGTACCCACAGCACCCACCCCATCAACCCCCAATTCCAAATACTGAGCAGCAAAAAGAATCACAAAAGTTAATTAGAAATAGAGAGAATCGAACTCCCATCTCACACACTCACGGCGGGCGAGCCTCCAAATACCCCTCTCTCTCCCTGGTCGGCTCAATCCCACACTAAGAGGTGAGTGTTCTACCATTGAACTATATTTCCTGTTTGTTCTGTATTGTTGTATTGGAGGGACTGTTTGAAGGCATATATTATATTCACTTACTTTCACTTCAAAAAGTTTTGTTGCATATCTCATTTTTAAATTGACTGTGTTATATGAATTATTATGTGATTCTGGGGGTAATTGGCTTCATTTTATAGGACAACCATGAGCGTCGATGAGCAGAGCAAATCAAGATTGGACCGATGGTTTCCCAGGAGGAAGATTCAATTCACTACACCTTTTTTACTCTATAATTCACTTTCCATCCACCATTCCCATGTGCTTCAGAAAGTTTTGTTGCACATCTCAAAATCTGTTGCCATGGGAATAGCTTCATTTTGTTTACTAGAGGGGAGGAGACAAATATTTTATAGATTGCGCTCAAGGAGAACACAAACAGCCTTTCAGCTCATTGGTTTTCCATGAATTCTCTGCTTTCATTTCTTGACTCAATTCACTGCAATTCATCTCAATTGAATTCACTTCATTGACAGTTGGATGTATCATACAGCACAACATACAGTAGCATAATGGGTAAGAAATGCTATAACCGACTATTATGAAACTCCCTGCTTTCACGCTAACAGTGTAGATTATATTCCTTTTGGCTTTAGTACCGAAAGAGTACTGTATCATGCCTCCTGCTCGGATATTTCTCTTATCTCATGGTTTCTTCTTCCCGTACCTATGCAGAATCCCCTGAACATTGATTGAGCATCTGGTTAGGTTAGATGGAGGTTCACGTTCCATACCCCCACCAATCCAGATGCCAAAAATAAAAACCACACCTTCCATCTTGGCGAAAATCGGCCTTTTGAAACCAACAATCTGCATTTCTTTGCAAGAAATAATGGAGATTACGGGCCGCAAAAGATCGCGTATGACAAAGAGGGGATTTCAATCACGCTATTTGCCAATATTTCTGCAAACAATAGTAGGGCTGTGGATAACGCTCATGAATGGTGCCTTGAGTGGTACCAAGGATCGCAAAGTGTAACGCCAACCTCGTGGTCTGTATGATTGGTAAACATACGATTGGTAAATATGAGCGTGGTTCGGTGGCCTCGCCACGGAGTTGCATAAAGTTGTGTGGGTACAGTTGGAGGGTTGTATTGAAGGGATCAAAGTTTGGGGGTGGCAAGGAAAAGGGTGTGTGGGCGCATGGTTATCTTGAGGGGAAAGAAGGTGTGGTGTGAAGAAAGTTGGTACAAATAAGCGAAGATGTTGTGGAACGTGGAACGATGAAAAGGGGAGGAGGATCAGCGAATGCGATGGTGAAACCACCACGATCGCATTTGGGAAATACTACAAAATACGAGGCGAATACCCAACTTTACCGTCGGTCGCATCCTTCAGAAAAGGTACTCGGTCTGTACAATACAATATACACATCCCACATGTGTGATCCAACTTTATCTTTCCAAAACAAGACTTTGATCCTTCTTCCTTCATATGCAGGGGTTTCGTCACATGTGCACCCACGTACATAAAGAACCTTTTTTTACTTCGGCCTTCGGTGGTTTCCTTCAACATGCTTCTAATGTAACGGTATCATCGCACAGTACCACCCCCTCTCTAACGTAATGTTTAACTTAAAAATCCTCCTCCCAACAGTGGGCGTACAGAATTATAAAATAACGGAGTCTAAAATCATTACTACAATCATAGTATAGGTAATTTAATAATCCGCGATTGTTTTTAATGAAATTAGACAATAAGTAAATAGTACTCAAATTTATATAGATATATTGTACTAATATCTATCGTATAGTCTTCTTTGAAAATAAAACGATTGAACATTAGAATTTTGATGAATTTTCGAAATCGTTGATTTTTGATATGATTTTGATGGTTCATGGGTTGCGTATTATAAATCACATGTTGATCTGTACGAAAGAGGCACAGCATGTCACATTGCAGAATCCCACCCTAACCTACAGAAAAGTACAGAAAACCTGAATATGCAAATCGTCTTGAACATTCTTCAAGTGCTGCCGGGGAGCGATTGGTTGAGATTATTGCAGATTTCAATAGTGTTTGTTGGATAAATTAAACTCAAGGGAGAGTTTATGGAACTGCTTGGTTTTTATTCTACAATATTTGTTGAAGATGTTGCATGTGGGACTATGCGCGTATGTCAACATCTCCATCCAATCGCAATATGCAAATGAATCCGTGGATTTGGTTCGAGGAGGGAAGGGTCTTTCGGTTGCAGAATTCGATAGTTTGTCTCCCTTCTTACGGACTTCTACAATGGATGTAATACAATATTGCCAAGAGTCCTGTTCCATAGGTAGTACTTTCTGCAAAAAATTGAAGCATACGTATTGCATTTTCTCCAGAAATACACGTAAAGCAGGAAAGCCTGGAGTCCCTTGCATTTATTTCATTTCGAAAATATGTACAGGTACAGCACCTCTTGCAGAAAAGAAAGCAACACCGAATGAGGAAGGAATTAAACATTGAATATCCCGTGCTCATTCATACATTAATCCCCGGGCCATTCGATATGCAACATACATACATTTTCGCTTGTGGTATTTTCACACGCCTGTACTCCGTGTGCCGTCAAAGTTGGACTTTACGATCGTATAGCCGCCATATCTAGGTAAATACCCCCATTTTCCTCTAAGGTACCTACCTCCACAGCACCTACTAGATGAGATGAGATAAGATAAGAGACCTAGGTAGTTTCCTAGTTGACAAATCTCATCTCACCTGTGGTGGCTGGCTATCGGCTTGGCGAAGGTGGCGCGAATATATCACCGTGCATATATTACATGATAATTGCGTATCAAATCCACAGTGTAGAATTTTCACAGATCTTTATATTTGTATTTGAATTATTACAATTATTACAATTCTTTACAAGTAGTTGTTGCGCTATTTCTTCTGTTGAACATATTGTATTGTTGTAGTGACTATCACGCTTAAGTTCTAGGGAATATGACTAAGCTAGTGTACGTAGAACTATTTTATAACAAAATCTTCAAGCGAGCATTATATTTATATTTCGAATAGCCTCGGGGCTAATGATACCCTTAGAAATCCGGTTTTGCACGGAAGAGAGGATCGGGGCGCAAGTGGGTACAGTTTGGGGCTGGAGGGTTCTAGTTGCCGGAGTGCACTAGCAAATCGTGGGGTATAAAGTTTGGGGAAGAGTCTGGACCTCCGCGTGGTTAGTCCGTCGGTAACTTTACTGTGTACTCGCGTGACAGCTAAATAAGAAACTAAAGTATTACTATTGTAGCTTACCACTGTGTGGATTCTATGTTTTCTGATCGCACGAGTATGTATCTCCATGATGTTGTTATACTAGTGCTATTAAAGACTATGCGAATGATCACGAGTGTAATAATGTATGTCAAGGAATTGGTAGCGGTACACGGTAGGAAATAGTGGCATGCGCTAAAGTTTAGGTTTGGAAATATTTTATTATTTTATTCTATTAAAAAACTGTTAGGTTAAAATATAAATTGAAGTTTGAAGGTAGAGAAGAGTATTTGCTACTTTAAAATCCATTCCCGCTATCACGACATCCCAGCCAAGTAAGGAAATGTTTGTAAAAATAAATCCCAGAAGTATATTCCATAACAATACATCGCAACCGTTTCCATATCCCATCGCAAATTCTGCCATTAAAAAATCCAAGATATACGAGACCCTTACTAGTGGGCTCTCCAGGAATCGTACAATACAATTTGTCGACATTAACGAGATATGTCCAGGATTTAGGTATCAATATTCCGCTCAAAACAATCAGTAAAAACATTCCATCCTCGTCATCAAAGTTGATATCTCCTAAGCACCCTCAGAGTGGATGATATCCCTCCCTTGTTCATCCTTCCTGCTTCGAAACAGACTGAGCACAGTTCCTCCTCCCTCCCGCCCTTGAGGCTCCTCCGACTTGCCGGTCGATACTCTTCGCAGATTATTATCATGTTCATCATCGCCATTAGGATCCGACCACACACTCAAGATAGAACCCTTTCTGGGATGAGTGGAACTCCCACTGCGATAATGTTTGCCTTCGTGATGAGAACCCATAAAAGGAGTATTATTGAGATTTCCAAAGGGGGTGGAGCGTCGTCGCTCACGACTAGCCCAGCTCTGACTCTCCGGAGTGGTAGTGCTCCAATCTTGTTCGTAGTCATCGAAAGGAGACTCTAGCTGAGTGGAGGGGTTTGTGGCGATTTTCTCTAGATGGGGGATTAGCCTCTATATTGATAACGAGTTTGAAGAGTGAGCGACATACTGGGTGGAGAACCCATACTGGGTGGAGAACCCAAAGCATGGCTGTCAAGTGGATGTAAGAAGGCGGCGTTTCTCCCCCCAACCGGGACGTTTTGGGGTCTGGAATCCATAATAATTAGTTGTGTATGATTGTTTGTAAAGTGTCACTTGTGTTTGGATATGACATTGTTTGGTGATCTGGTATTGATCTGAAATTGAGATTGACGGGATGCAATGCTTCCTTATATAGCTGCCCGGAAGGCTGTTATCATCTCACGATATCTAGCCAAAGCAATAAAAATGGGTTAAGCGTCATGGTGCAGACTATCTTGTCTTAGATCGGCAACCCCAAGAAATCATTGGTATATAACTAAGGGAACATTTTTATGTTGCAACTCTAAAGACAACCCTATGTGATTCGAAACAGCTCCTCGTTGGTCAGTAAATGTGCTTTGGTCGCAGATAGTGTGTCAACCTATGCGTTCACTATGCATTCTGACCACAGATAAAATCGCCATTTAAATTCATTTGATGCTTATAATATTAATTGGTAGAGTTATTCACATCCTTATGCAGAGTAATGTAAACCTGCCTTGGAACTATGTCGATCACCAGGCAATTGGGATTAGTGAAAGCCCCGCGTTTGGATTTCGCCTCCTTTCAATGTTCCCTTTCGTAAATGAGCTTGGCCAAAATAACATATTTTAGATTGGATAAAGTTCTCATCGTCAATTTATTTACCACGTGGAAATAATGTTTGGAACTT